AGGGAGCCCGATGCGGGACTCGATCCCGGGACTCCAGGATCATGACCTGAGCCGAAGGCAGTCGCTTAACCAACTGAGCCACCCAGGCGCCCTACAGTTACTTTCTACTTGTAACCTGTCGGCTTCCTTTTAAAAGTGAGTATGCTATCTAAAAAGGAGACGATATAATGAAAACCATGAAGTGGATCATAATATCCAGATTTCGCAAAATCCACAAAGGCAAATAATGTTTGCCAACCACTGCTCCGTGTTCTCTTACTATTATTTAATTTGTGGGAGCTCCTAGACTTTGCTGCTGTGCGGATAGCACCCTACTTGATTGCCAACAAAAATACAGATGTTCTCTTATTTTTGTATTTCTTTTGGAAATTGGGAAGAGGACAATTGACTATTTTTTAAAAGATTTATTTATTTGAGAGACAGAGAGAGTGTGTGAGAGAGTGGGGGAGGGGCAGAGGGAGAAGCAGACTCCCTGTTGAGCAGGGAACCTGACATGGAGCTCGATCCCAAGACCCTGGGATCATGACCTGAGCCCAAGGCAGATGCTTAACTGACTGAGCCACCCAATGCGCCCTGAGGACAATTGAATATTAAATGTGGAGACAGATGTAGGGGTGCAAAAAATCACCTCTGCTTTGAATCACCTCTCCTCCTATTTTTAGGAGCTCCTTGAGGAAGTTTTGTGAATGGAGGAAAAAATCATTATGAAAATTGTGAATTTGGGTTAGGAAGTCTTTTCTTTGGGAGTGAGGAGCTCCGGGATGTTTTTTCCCTCTAGCGACTCGGATGTCTTTGGGATGTCCTTTTCCTTCCGCTCTCTCATGTTACCCTTTGAGTAGATGGAAGCATCTTTGTGGTCAAAAACATACTGAAAGCCATCTTGTTTATTAGGATAATGTCAATATCCATAATGATGATGATGATTTCTTTTATCACTTGCTAAATGCCAGGCACTGTGCTTATCATTTTGCATGAGTCACCATGTCTCAGCTCCACAGTAATCCTATGAAAAAGACTTTTTTTTTTTTTAAAGTAATCTCTATGCCCAACATGGGGCTTGAACTAACAATCCTGGGATTAAGAGTTACATGCTCTGACTGCGCCAGACAGGTGCCCCTGAAAAAAACTCTTGTTCCAATTTATAGATGAGAAAAATTGAGGCTGAGAGCCTAGCTAGTTTATCCAGTGACCCAAGGAGGCATGGGCAGAGGTGAGATTTGGATCCAGGCAGAGTTTGACTCTGGAGCTGGGGAATTAACCAACAAAGGGATACCATTTCTCAAGGGGTTAATACAGGGCACTTTGGGAAGGCGTCTGCAGAGAAAACAGCATCATGGAGACAAGGTCATAGTCATCCAAATGCTGCTGAGAGCCAGGATGCTGTGATCCATCGACCATGGGAGATCTTCCTAGCATTCTTTCAGAATAAGAAAGCACTTAGCAGACAAAAAGTAGTAAAAACATACAGAATGACTGAATGAGAGAACTAAGAAAAGTGTGTATGTGTGGAGATGAGAGACAGAGCCAGAGCCAGAACAGTGCATAAACACAGATTATTAATTTTTTTCTGAAAACTGTGGAATAATTACAAAAATACGTAGCATACCTGGCTGCAAACACGTACGCGCACACCTCCCCCAAAAGAAAAAACCCTCAACACATTTTTTTAAGGTAAAGCTGTCTATAGTCTTCCTTTCCTTATCCTAACTGACAAAATAATATCAAGTCAGGTCATGGAATTTGTCCTGTCTCCCTGTCTCCCTTTAGGTTTAAGTTGCTGAGCCAGGAGGAAGGCGAGTACTTCAATGTGCCTGTGCCGCCGGAAGGAAGTGAAGGCAATGAAGAGCTACGGCAGAAATTTGAGGTGAGCTGTCTTTCTTTCTCCGTCAGTGGGAAATGGTTGAGTTTGCCTCATATGCTGTGGCTCTGGTTATGAAAGGCCTTCTACCAAGGCCTTTCATGACTCTGTGCCTTTGCAATGTTATTCTGAGTCCCAGAAAACTCCTATGCATCCTGCAAGACCCCAACCAAGCATACCCTGCTTTGTGAAGTCATTCCTTCCTCCTTGTCCTCATTTAGATTTAGACTTTTACTCGAAAGTGCTCCTTCACTTCTCAGGTCATTTTTTTTTTTAAGATTTTATTTATTTATTTTAGAGATAGAAAAGGGGGAGGGGGGAGCAGAGGGAGAGGGACAAGCAAACTCCATGCCGAGCATGGAGCCTGATGGAAGGCCCGATCTCACGACCCTGAGATCATGACCCAAACTGAAATCAAGACCCGGACGCTTAACTGACTGAGCCACCCAGGAGTGCCCCTTCTCAGGTCATTTTGATGGTAGCTTGGGCTGGGATGGTAGTAATGGTGAATGAAGGAAGTGGAGAGAGGAGTGCTCTATTTTGGAGGCTGAGTCAACCAGACTTGCTGAGAGATAGAATCTGGATTTGGATCTAGTGGTGGGAGGGTGCTGTACTGTTAACAAATGGAATAGTTTGTGCTGGTGACTTCATGAAATACCCATGGGTATATCTTCTGAAGAAGAGTCCTTGGCCCTGACCTTGGGCTACAGTCTGGCTCTGCTTCTACTCCAGCTAAGCCCTTTCCCTTCTGGGGAGCCAATAGACCCCGTTTTCAGCTGTGTGAGAGTTGCAGACGCATCCCAGTTTTACAAAGAAAATGTTTTGGGGAAAATGAGTTTGAGTTCTTTCATTACATGTGTATTGAGTGATTTTAAAGTAGTTTCATAAGGGAAAACACATTATTTTGTTTGTACAAACTCAATATACTGAGTCTGATGGGAAATCATCAGTTCTAGATAAACAGTGTTGGCCTGCTAACTCCGAAAAAATTGTATAAAATAGCTAAAATGAAATAGATTATTATCATTGTTATTCAGCAAATAATCACGCAGGCAAATAAAAAAAAACTCGTGACCAGGTAAAGTTCTATAAAAGAGAGGTCCATGTTGACTCTGAGAACATATATAAGAGCGGGGGACAGGAGGACAGGGAAGGTGTCATTGAGGCGGCAACGGTGCAAGTTAACGGAGTAGAGAGGGGAAAAGAAAATTCCATTCAGAGAGGACAGCATGTGCAAAGGCCCTGTGGCAGGGACTTTTTTAGCAACTATGTGAAACTTAAAGAAGGCCAGTGTGGGTAGAGGAGAGAGAGCAAAGGGTAAGTTCAAGGTACGGCTGTCATCACAGTAGTAGAAGGGCTGTGCTGGCCTTGGCAAGGATTTTGGCTTTTATCCCAAGATCCATGTTAGTTTCCCCCTCAACTTGACAGAAATAGCACTTGAGTTTTGACCCTTGTGTGTCCTCCACAAAAGCCAGTGGTGATGGGTCTGACCCAGGGGGCTATCCCTTCCTGGAAACAAGTGGGATGAACACATTGGCCTTGAGCTTATCAGCCATTTCTCCAGCGAACTTGATAAGGGAAGGTTATTCCCATAGAGCTGGCTCAAGCCCCAATGAGCCGGAAAAAGGACATCCCACGCAGTGGAGCCAAGAACTGGACACTCTTGATTAGTCCTTCCAGAGAACACCTTCCATCTCTTTCCCTCAACTTTTTGATGAAGCTGTGCCCATTTGCTGCTGTGTTAAAAATGCACCGCTGTGGGTAAAAAAAAAAAAAACCAAGGCCACTCTTTTCTCATATAAAATGGCGTCTCAGTTTGCAAAATGATTTCTTCCATCCTAGGGCAGCCGGGGTGACATTTCAGGACACCAAGGAGAACAGTTCCTACGTGAACATAGCGTTTGTCGGGGCCAGTTATTGGCGTGGAGCAAAGGACTGTTTTATCTGCACGTGACAAAATGCAGCCGTTTATTTCTAGCGAGAGCCCGCAAACGCTTGTTTATGCCTGAATTATAATTGCTCCGTACCGTAGTTGTTGATTAAAAAAAAAATGTTTCCAACAGACCGAAAATTGTTCTCAGACACACAGAGAAATTTCAGGTGACCTTGAACGTGAGAAATGTAATCCCTGTGCAATAACCAATTAGCACCCAGAATGACTCAGAAATTACTTTCAAGCCTCTTAATGTGGAGAAATTCTGAGTGACGGTAAAATCGAGCTGCTGGCCTTGGGGTAATAGAATTTCACGGCAGGGTGAGCTTGGTACGGTGGCTGTCCGTGGTGTATTTCAGAATGTTCCAGTTGGCTCGGTCTGGTGGGGGGTGCGGGCTTTTGCCTGACCAAGGGCTTGTCTCTGGGTCAGTGAAGGGAAAACTCCATTTTGGATGGTTCAGAGTGGGTTTTCAGACGGTCTCAGAATTTTCTTACATCATACAGTGCTTCCTCTGGGCCATTTATTATTTTAAGTGCTCCAGAAATATTAGCATATTTAACCCTTGCAGTACCCCCTTGCAGGTAGATACTATCAGCATCCCTGTTTTTCTTTTATGGATGAGGAAACGGAGTCCCAGCAAGGGTAAGCAACTTTTTACCATCCCAGAGCTAGCTGCTCATTATCCTGGGTTGAGTTTCCCCAGCAACAGACCATAAGGATTCAAGTGCAAGTAGTTTCTTTGGGAGGTGATCCCAGGAAGCGTCATTGCCGAGAGGGGAAGAGGAGGTGTGTATCATGAAGCAGGTTAGCACCGTGGGCAGCTGGGGTTTAAGCACGCCGGAAAACTCTGGGAGTTGGATGTGTGCCTGGGGGGCGCCAATTGGGGGGCACGAAACTGCAGTATCATCCACCAGCTCAACTTCTGTTGCTGGCTGGTGGCTGCTTTTGGGGGAGTTCCCTGGCCAGCACTTGTGGGCTCGGCTTGCTCCTGCAGCCAGAATGTGAGCCGGCAGATGGAGCTGCAGGTGTGAGCGGTAAGGAGCCCCAGGTGTAGAGAGGAGAGCACCAGGGGGTCTTGGCCGGACACCTGGTCTCATCTGTGCAAGTGAAGCCCTATTCCACTCAGGTGGTTCAAGCTCCAGGCTGCCCAGATTTGAATCCGGCTCTGCCACTTTCCTGCTGGGTGACTGTAGGCAAGTTACTTTCTCTCTCTGAGGCTTTGATTCCCCATCTGTAAAATGGGGGAAGCACATCGCTTCTTAGCTTCTAAGGTTATGTGAGGATCGAATGAGATAATGCATTTAGGACAGCGTCTGGCGCGTCATAGCATTCAAATGTCAGGCCATTGTTGTCATTACCAGCTTCCCCCTTGGAATAAATAGAGCTCCGACCATATTCCTTCTGGGCTTTGGAAGAGCCGGTTGGGGATTGGGAGGGATCTGTGGGGGCTCCAAGCCTCCTGAGGTCTCACCTCTGCTGCTGGGTACTGGGGTACCTATAGGAGCCCCTCTTAATTGCAGAGGAGTCTGTAGTTGAAGCCAGGGCCGTCACTAATCATCTGAAATGTAGCCCCGGAGACTGGGTCCCGAGGCACCTCTGCCCCCCTGCAATGCAGTCTGGAAAGAGGCAGGGCTCCTTGCTCAGAAGTGTAGTCTATTTGCTTTCTCTTTGAGCACCGACTTCTAGGGCTCCAAATTGCAGACATAAAAAGGCAACCATTAGTGTATTCCTGTTTCTGAAGACATATCCAACCCAGCCCGATAGAGGATCATTTTAATTTGGGACTCAATTTTAAAATGTTTGCTCTTTGATGGAGTACCTGCTAGGCCTGAGGGTCCTGGGGATCAGGAGGCTTTCAGAGGGACACAGGATGGGCTTCTTGTCCTTCAAAGGTTCACTGTGTCGGGTCACAAACCCAAATGTTTTCAGGAGCCAGGCAGATAACAAGGAGGGGAAAAAGCTTGGTGTCAGACAGTAGGGTGTGGTGGGGACTGCGGTAAACTTGGGAAGTCCAAGATCAAAGCCCCAGCCTGGTCATGTTCTGGTGGGAGCCCCCTTCCGGGTTCCTAGATGGCTCTTTTCTCACTGTGTCCTCACTTGGTGGAGGGGCTGAGGGACCTCTCTGGGGCCTCTCTTATGAAGGCACTGATCCCACCCATGGGGGCTCCACCTTCATGACCTAATCCCCTCCTACAGGTCCCATCTCCTAATGCCATCACCCTTGTGGGGTAGGATTTTAGCATGTAAATTTTGGAGGGGAAGACACAAACATTATCACCTACATGGGGAGACACAAGCACTATGGCTTCGAAGGGGGTCCAGACATCATAGGTCTATAGCCTATACCTATGGAAAAAAAGAAGCAAATTCAGAGGGGAGAAGTTTGCTCGCAGGACAGAGGGATGAAGCTGGTGGCTACTTGCTGCTCCTTGAAGGACAGAAAAAAAAATTTCCACGAAGCAAGGCCAAATGGAGAAATTGGGAAGTTGAAGCCCCTTACTCATGCTTCACCAGCAGGCTGTACTGGGACCTGGGGTGTCCCCCTGAGGGCCAGGATGAGGGCTGGGGACCAGGGGACAGTCAGGATTTGGATCCTCACAGGTTGGACAGTGAGGTGTGTGGATCAGGTGGGTCCTGAGTCAGGATTCAAAGAAGGTGGGAGATGTGTTCCTAAGGCAGGGAAGACGGTAGGGTGGGGAGAAAGGCGGGAATGTGTTTGACAGCCTGGGCAAAAACTTGGGGGCCGGAACGTAAGGATTTGGGATGATGGAAAGATACGGCCCAAAAAAGGCAGTACAACTTCTGTCTTCGGCGCTTTGCTTCTTTACGATCTCCCTGAGGTGCTCATGTTGCTCAAGTTTTAACCACCGGCTCTATGTCTCTGACCCCCCCACACCTCTGTCTCCAGCTCAGATACCATTTCTCAGTCTCAAACCCACAGAGGCCATTGCTTTCTGGGTATGGATACTTGGCTTTCCCAGAGACACTCAGATCTCAACATATCTTACTACGAAACAACTTGACCATGTGTGTTCACAGCAGCTTTGTTAATAGCCCCAAAGTGGAAAGGACACAAATGCCCATAAAGAGGAGAATGGATAAACGTAAACAATGAACAGCAAGACAAAGGGGCAAACTACTGACTCTTGCAACAGCACGGTTGCATTTCAAGAACAGGATGATGAGCAGAAGCAACCAAATGCAAAAGACTACTTCTTCCATAAAGGGAAGCCTGTCAGACTTTGACAAATCTTCACCAAATATGTGGGTTTCCCACACCCAGAAATTCTCCAGTCCTCTGTGGACACCAACCGGGTGTCCTACAATTGAATTCCCAGATGACACCTGGAGTTAGAACAGACCCCACAGGTTAAGGCCTTGGTCCCAACAAGGCTGCCCTCACTTTAGACTCCAGTCGCAAATGGTGGGTTCCCAGGTCGCCCACACTTCTGTCTGACTTGCTACCAATCAGGGGTTCCCACTATACCTCCTCCTCAGATTTGATAATTTGCTAGAACGGCCCACAGAACTCAGGGACACACTTATTTCTAAGAACTGGCTTATTGTATAAAAGGGATATGATAAAGGATACAGATGAACAGCCAGACGAGGAGATACATAGGGTAAGGTCTGAAAGGAGTGTGGGAGCTTCCATCCCCCACAGGGTTGGGATTCACCATTCCGGAAGCTCTCCAAATTCTGTAGTTCAGGGATTTTTATGGAGGTTTCATCATGGAGGCATGATCGATTATTAACTCAGATCTCCAGCCCTGGGATGGGGCTGAAAGTAATAAGCTTCTAATCATGGTTTGGTCTGTCGGGTGACCATCCCCCATCTAGGAGCCCACCAAGAGTTTCCTCATTAGAATAAAAGATACTCCTATCAGGAAATTACAGGAGTTTTAGGAGCTTTGCATCAGGAGCCAAGAGCAGAGAACAAATATATATTCCTTATTATGTCACACTCTGTGATTCCATTTAATGAAGTTCAAGAACAAACAAAACTGACCTATGGGAATAGAAATCAGAACAGAGATGGTGTTCGTAGGAGGCAGGATTGGCTGGGAAGGGGCACAGAGAACTATCTGAGGGTGATGGAAATGTTTCCTCTCTTGATTGGGGTTTGGGTTCATGGGTGTATACATTTGTCCAAATTCATAGAACTATATGCTTAAGATTTATACATTTCAGTGTATCCAGTGTAATTTTTATTTTTATTTATTTTTAAAGATTTACTTATTTATTTGAAAGAGAAAGAGAGTGCACGCTTGAGCAGGGGGAGGGGCAGAGGGAGAGGGAGAGAGAGAATCCCAAGCAGACTCCGCACTGAGCACGGAGCCCGACATGGGGCTCGCTCTCATGACCCTGAGATCATGATCTGAGCCAAAATCAAGAGTTGGACTCTTAACTGACTGAACCACCCAGGCACCCCTCCACTGTAATTTGTGAAACATTAATTACAAAAAGAAGAAAACTGGTGGATGCTTTGTCAGCAGCACAAATGGGATGACAACAATGAACACGCACGTTCTGAGGGAGAAATAAACCTTGCAGTGTATGCCACTGTGGGGAGGGGGGAGCCTCAGCATGCCCAAAGTCAGGCTCTTCCCACTCTCTTGCCCACACCTCCAAATCTGCCCTTCCTCTGCTCCTCCTCTGAGTGGGAAGTGCCACCATCCTGTCCTCCCAGGTGCTCAACGCAGAAGCCAAGGACTCGTCTTTCATCCCTTATCCCTCTCTCCCAGGCTGCACCCAGCTCTGATGAGTCTACCTCCAAATCCATCACTTTGTTCCATCTGCATCACAGATACCCCCGAGGTCGGGCCCCACCATCTTGCACCTTGATGACTGTGGTCATTTCTTTCTGGTGGTTCTCATACTCACCTTCTTCGAATGGGTCTCTTCGCTGGATCCAGGGTGATCTTCTAAATGGAATATGATCATGCCATGGCCTCCTTAAAGCCTTTTTTTTTTTATTTATTTTTTATTTTTTTATTTTTAAAGATTTTATTTATTTATTTGACAGAGAGAGAGAGATAGCGAGAGCAGGAACACAAGCAGGGGGAGTGGGAGAGGGAGAAGCAGGCTTCCCGCCGAGCAGGGAGCCCGATGTGGGACTCCATCCCAGGGCCGTGGGATCATGACCTGAGCCGAAGGCAGACGCTTAACGACTGAGCCACCCAGGTGCCCGCCTTTTTTTTTTTTTTTTAAAGATTTATTTATTTGGGGGGGCAGACAGAGAGGGAGAGAGAATCTCAAGCAGACCCCTCTCTGAGCTCAGAGCCCAACACAGATCTCCATCTCACGAGCCTGAGATCATGATCTGAGCGGAAACCAAGAGCCGGAGCTTAACGACTTTGCCACCCAGAGACCCCACCCTAAAGCCTTTCACGCTCAGAATCAGCTCTGACCTCTTAAGACCGTTTACCTGGTCCTTGTTGCCTTTGGGCTGCATCCCGTGCCACATCTACCTTGTACTCTGTGCTCCAGCCAGACTAAACAGTGTTTGCTTCTTCAAGTGTGTCCGGCTTTCTGCTCCATTAATGCTGTTTCTGCTGCTGACATCAAGTTGTTTACCTGGAGAACTCCAGAATATCCTTGACACAGGGTGGGGGACCCAGTCCCTGCTGTGGGGTAGATTCTTTGAACATCCAAGGTTGTTTTTCTCCCTGATTGATCCCCGGCATCTAGAGCATCACCTGGCCTGTAGCAGGTACTCCATGAGTATTTTTTGAATGAATGACTCTTTCCCAATATTCAAAACCCTGAAAAAATGTTTGTTGCTTCCTTGTCTTTAAAAGACAACTGAATAGGGGCAGCTGGGTGGCTCAGTTGGTGGAGTGTCCGACTCTTGATTTTGGCTCAGGTCATGATCTCGGGGTCCTGAAATCGAGCCCCGTGTTGGGCTCCGTGCTTAGCGTGGAGTCTGCTTCTCCCTCTCCCTCTGCTCCTCCCCCTACCTCTCTCTCTCTCTGGAATAAATAAATAAAATCCTTAAAAAAAAAAAAAGACAACTGAATAATAAGACAACTATAATAGCTGCCATTCATTGAGCACCTACTATGTGCTAGGAATGGTGCTAAGAACTCCGAGATACATTCTCTCATGTCCTGATCTCCATTTGCTTGAACAGGTTTAGAAAGGTTCATTCACCAAAGACAAGTAAGTGCCTACTCTGCTGGGTACCGCTCTAGACACCAGGGAAAGGAGAATAAGACAAAATCCTTGACCTCATGGAGCTTATGTTCTAGTGTGAGGACAAAGACGAGGAATTAAGAAATAAGTTAATATTGGGTTTGTAGGATTGTGATAAGAGATATGGAGAAAAATAAGTAAGGGGAATGAGGATTGCTGAGAGCTTCTGCATATTGGTGTTGGGAAAGGCTGTCTTTTTTTTTTCCCAAGATTTTATTGATTTGAGAAAGAGCAGGGAAAGGGACAAGCTCAGTGCAGAGCCCGATGCAGGGCACGATCCCACGACCCTGAGATCGTGACCTGAGCTGAAAGCAATCTGACGCTTAACCGAACGAGCCACCCAGGCGCCCCAGGAAAGGCCATCTTACCCGAAGTGAGGAAGCTCTGGGAAAGAACTCCAGGCACAGGGGACAGCAAGTGCAAAGGCCCAGGGGCAAGGGCGTGTTTGGTGCTTTCAGAGAACAGCAATGAGGCCAGGGCAATGCAAGGAGAAGAGATCCAAAATCAGAGAAGGTACAGAGGGGCTGGGACATCTCTGGCCTTTGGCCTTTTCTCTGAGAGAGATGCTGAAGTTCAGGATGTCTGGGTGGAGGAGTGTCCTGAGCTGATAACTCCCTCAGGATAACATCACTTATCCACACCAGAGTCAGGATTCTAGCCCTAGAGGCGACTCCAGGAACAAAGTCTTTCCTGGTGGCTGCAGGTCTCACTGCTGACCTCCTCTTCTTTCCTCATTGCAGGGAATCTGCTACCATTCTGAGTCACTGTTCTGCTGCTCACAGCAGCGAGACCCTCCCCCACTGCACTGAGGACCGACATGGGCCTCACCATCCACTTATCCACACGGCAGGAAGCCGTGTTCGTTGTTGGGGAAGTTGCAGAGCTAGAGTCTGCACCTTCACAGAGCTTCCAGTGTGTTGGGAGAACAAGGGAACAGTTACCATCCAGTATAAGTGGGAAGTGAAACAGATGAAGGAAACAAATAGGGACACTTAATCCAGACAGACAATCAAGGAAGCCTCCCCTGGGGAAGTGAAAATGTGAAGCAAGGGGAACTCGGTTGGCAAGGAGGAGACAATAGCCATCCCCAAAGCAGCAAGAGCAGGTGCAAAGGCCCTGAGGTGGGACGTGAAAGGAGAATGAATCTGAATTACAGGGAAGGTCCAAGAAGTGAGGAGGTTGGAGAACCTGGTCATACTGGGCCAGGTAGACCAGTGAAAGCACCAAGGGCTTTAGCCCAAACCTAAGGAGTCACAACTGAAGCATTTTAAGCAGGTGGTGACTTGGTTGGGTATGAAGAAGTGGAAGCTCACTCTGGTTGCATGCAAAGCCGAGTGAGGCGGGAACCAAGGTGGGCTGTCTAGGTGCAACATGACAGGTGGTGGTAAAGATGGAAGGCAGGTGAACTCTAGAGACAGCGAGGAGGAAGAAAAGACTCTTCCCCATGGTGGCTGAGGCATGATGGGTAAAAGAGAAACGAGGGTATCAAGGGTGGCTCCCAGGTTTCGGGCTTGCAGAGCAGATGTTGGCCATGCTTTTCATTGAGATGCGGGTCAGGGGAGGGGGCGAGCTGCAGGAACCACAGCTCATGGCAGGTTCCTGTGGCTTCTTCCAAGGGCATCCTCAAACCCTAATGATGTTTTCTGTGTGCTTCCTCTGCCAGAGGGCCAAGATCAGTCAGGGAACCAAGGCTCCAGAAGAAAAGACGACCAACACCATATCCAAACTTGACAACAATGGGAACAGAGACCGAATGAAACTGACCGATTTTAACTTCCTGATGGTGCTCGGGAAAGGAAGCTTTGGCAAGGTACGGTATGGCGTGGGGGCTGCACCCACTCCAGAACGACAGGTAACAAGGCAGGCACATTTGCTGTTCATATGGGGCTTACATTCCAGCGAGGGAGAGAATAAAAAGGAAACAGACACTACACTACAGTTTGTAATGAAAACTGTGAAGAAAATGAATAGTGTACTGTGGGCCACGGACAAATCAAGAAGAGATCCACTTAGACCATCAGAGGAGGTGAACCCTGAACTAGCTATCCATGCCAAGAGCTAAGAATGAATGTTGCCAGCAGAGAGAATAGCAAGTGCAGAGGTCCTAAGGTAGAGAAGGGCTTGGTACCTTCTAGGGACCATCAGAGGGTGTTGGGGCCAAAATGTCATGAGCATGGCGAAATTGTAGGATGTGAGATTGTAGAGATGGGCAGGGGCCTGATCCTGCAAAGCCTTGTGAGCTGTGATGAAAAGTTTGGATTTTATCCACTGTGCAGTGGGGAGCCATTGAAAGTTTTTGGGCTGAGAAGTGACCTGACCCGATGTGCCTTTTGGAAAAGATCACTTTTGCAGCCAAGAATGGAAACCATTCCTTTCAGAGAGCAACGGATTTGAAGGATGACCTGGGGACTCGTAGAGTGGTTCTGGATGCTTTTATAGGTACTAGGAGACACTGTTTTACTGAAGTCGAGATTGTGTTATAAGTATTCCTGAGTTGTTTAGTGTTGTTTTGAGTCTTTTAATCCCTTGGTATGCCATAAATATGTCTCATATAAATCTCATACCATGAACTCAAGTGTGCAAAAAATATAAATTTCTTCTCCATCTCTGTAGCCCAAGCCCCCAGTCTGGGACTTTTCCTGGAGTTCTTCTTACCTAGCTCCTCCCCTAGTCGTGTGAAACCCATTCACAAATCCTAACAGATCCTTCGCCAAAGCAGGCCACGCATTTACTGACTTCCTTCTATCATCACAAATGCAGCCCTAATCTAAACCCCGCATACCCCCTGGACTCCTGCAGAATTTCCTAACTGGCTTCCCTGCTTTCACTCTTGTTACCTGTAATCAATACACTTCCATTTAGCAGCGCGAGTCATTTTGTCAAAGTTCCATTAGGTCAAGGCACTCCCCTGATGAAAACTCCCCGATGACTTCCCATCACATCAAATAAATTTCATACTACATTCTTGGCTTACATTGCTCTTTACAATCTGATCCGGGTTCTCTGCCCGGTGACTTCTTTTTCTTGCCCCTGTTATCCACAGTGTTCTGGCCAGGGTGGTCCTTGGGTTTTTGAAACATACAAATCTCCTTTCTCTCTTACAGCTTATGTGATGCTATTTCCTTTATTCTTTGCATGGCTGGCTCTTTCCTGTAATTCCCATCACAACCTAGACAACACCTCTTCTGAGAAGTCTTCCCTAACCACTTCCTCAGCCATGCATTCATTCCCCATTATATTCTGCTCTCTCTTAGCAGCCATCACCAGATAGTATATGTTTTGTTTTTTGGTTTGTCTCTCTTCTAAGAACTGAGCACTGCAAGAGGGGGACCTTCGTCCTATTCACCAAGGTACTTCCGGTGCCTATGGATTGCATCCATTCAGGGCCTGGACAGAATGCACGATTTTCTCTGTCTGTGGGTCACAAGGTCATCTGCTGAGAAAGAATAAGGGATCTGAATGGTGGCCCCGAGTTTGCAGAGCTTGGGCACAAAATGGGAATGACAGCAGGAATACACAGCAAGATTACTGAGAAGATCTCTAAAGTCGGTGATGGAAGTGGTCCATGCCTCTGTGTGATTTTTGCCAGCACCTCTGAGCAGCTGGGTGTGGACATGGGGAAGTGGGTGGCAGATTTGAGCTGAGGGGGAGATTAGCAAGATCAGTGAGCCAGAAGGTTAATAGGGAGTCAAGGATTCTGGGAAGAGAGTTGCCCACTGCAGATCCAACAGAAACTTTTAGTGGGTGATCAGTAAGAGTATATTGGATAAATGAATAGAAATGGCATCTAGACCAGGCTGGAAAGGAAGTCAGAGAAGGAAGAGGGTCATAACCTCAGGTAGGAAAGAAGGAGTCTAGAAACCGAGGGATTAAGAAAACAAACGGGTGAGGTCAAGAGATTTAAAGTGCTAGGAAGACCAGGGGCATTTAGATTCCAAAGATGGGTGGGTTGCAGTGATGATAAGGATGGACGTGGCCTAAAGGAAGAAGGGGTTCTAATTATATGGGCCTGTTGGGGAGTTTGTAGAAATTAAATTATATTTTTAATAAGTGACGTATTCACGTGGTTTGTAATTAAACTTATATTGGAAGGATAAACATTGAGACATCTGCTCCCACCCAAATCCACACCTTTCTGTGCCTGGTCACCGCAGCTGCGCTCCAGAGGCAACCATTCTGTTCATTTAATTTGCATATTTCTGGTTCCCATGTGCTAATTTAACACATATAAATATGCATTTTTACTCTTGTCCTTGTTACCTCAAGGGTTCGCATCCTCTACACAGAGTTCTGCACCTTTCCGGTCACTTAACAACATAGGTTGGAGAGTTTTTGATTGAGGAATGGAAGTGCCAGAAGGATCCTATGGAAAGGATCAGGATTGGGAGGGGGGTGGAGAAGCGGGAGAATGGGTCATCAGGGAACAGTGAGGAAATGAGAGCAAATAGATCATATGTTTCCATGGAAACCGTTACAATAATTGAGATTTCTATTCCAGGCTGGGGATGTGGCCTCAAACAAATCACAGATGAGAACAACAGTATGTCATGAGAGCCAGACAGAATCACAAAAAACCTCGATAATCCTTTAAAACAGAGTGTAATCCTTTGCAACTCCAGTGTTGCCCACTGTGGTTTTAAATTAATGTGGTTTTTGTATTTGAATGCCTGCTTTGAACATCCTGCAGTCTTGCTAGGTGTAGAGATCGATCCGCTTAAATAGCACGCCACAGCACGGTAATGGCTGTCCTCCTTGCAAAGAGGGGAGAGATTGGTCTTTGGGGTGATGCCTTCACCCCTCTCCTCCCCCAGGTCCGTTGGATCAGATCTGGCCTCCAAAAATGTGCTCTTAAGCACCATCATCGTTTGTGGGGCGACTAGGGAGTGACATGTGCCTTTTGCTAAGACCTGCGGGAATAAAACACGGCGAAGTAGGCGTGAAGGCCGTTGAGTTCCAAACAAGTAAGCCCCATTTCAAAAACTCTGAAACGAAGGACAATTTGGAGAGTTTACTTTCCTGAACAGGTAGGAGTGTTTACCTGGAAGTGTTATCTTGCCAGAGCAGGGGCTCTTGGCATGTCTGGCTTACTTACAGATCAATGCCTTCTAGAACTTTTGTAATGGAGCATTCAAATGTATCGCTCATTTATTATTTAATGTTTGTTTTTCTAGTTTTATCCGTTGTGCTCTATTTTTTTTGTGTATTCATTCATTCATTCATACTGAGGTCTAACTGCCATATAACATTAATTCCAGATATACAACATAATAATTCAATATTTGTATATATTGTGAAATGATCACCACAGTTGATTCTGATTAACACCGGTCCCCATCCAGAGTTAAATTTTTTTTCTTACAATGAGTTTTACTCTCTATTTTTAATGATCCCTTGAATCTTTGTCTTCAGCTTTACCAACCATTACACTTTTCAAGAATTCAAACTCTGTGGTTTTCAAGGGATTACTGGAGATAGAATTATGCTCCAAATATATATATTGGGCAACTACGTACTGCCCCAATTGATTGCATGAGTGCACTTTATAAGGTAAACACAGTAAGTACCTGATAAAGTATGTACAGAGCACAAATACAACTCTCTACATCATAAACCTGAATCTTCTAATCCAAAAATCCTGCCACAGTAAACATTTAATTAATGCTAGTATTGCCTGCCTTCTGAGACTTCAGATGTGCTTGTGATTTATATGACCCAAATCATTTTGAAAAGTTATGCTGAGAAGTTTGAATGGAGACTCTTATTCTTTTATATTCCTGACTCTTGCCTATGGAAGGTCCTGTGCTAATGGAGTGGGGAGCAAGAGAAGGGCGGGTGTATGCTGTGGTGGACATAGATCTAACATAAAGAAGTTCAAATCCAACAGCACAGAAGTCTATGTGAAAGATGTGTCATGGAAGATGATTGGTAATAGAGAAAAAATGAAAATCATTCAAAAGTTCATCAATAATATGAAAGTTAAATATCTAATGGTATATCCATGATACATTCAAAAGAATGAGGTCTCTCTTATCTCTGTCTGTCTGCCTGTCTATCATCATGGAAAGATATTCATGACACAATATCAATTAAAACAGAAGCAAATCATAGAGCATTATGATTAATAATATAAAATGTAATGTACATAGAATAATTATTTTCATGTAATACACTCATGGTCCCTACTCTCATTGAACTTTTCTCCCAATATTTTATTGTGAAAAAAAGCACTCTGAATATAGAAAAGTTGAAAGAATTATACAGTAACATCCATAATACCCTCTACCTAGATCCTACAATTAGCATCTGACTGGTTCTGCTTTATCACACATCTATCCATCTGTCTGTCTCTGTCAACCCATTTTTTTTAAAGACATTATTTATTTATTTGAGAAAGAGAGAGTGAGCACGAGCAGGGGGCAAGCAGAGTGAGAGGGAGGAAGCAGACTCTCCGCTGAGTAGGGAGCCTGACGCGGGGCTCAACCCAAGGACCCTGAGATCATGGCCTGAGCTGAAGTCAGACCCTTAACTGACTGAGCCACCCAGGTACCCCACTGTCAACCCATTTTTAATACATTTCAAAGCAAGTGGCAGACACTGCTATACTTTATCCCCAAATGCTGTATGTATGCAATATCATTTGACCAGAATTCAATATTTGATTTTGGTCATTTTTAAGGTAAAATTTACACACAACAAAATGTACAAAGCAGTGTATCATTCTGTGAGTTTTTTTAAAATGCGTACTTTAAAATGCAGTGGGGATCTAAACATTAGTCAGGACATCACACTAATAGATGTAACGTGCAACTG